ACTGCAGTCCACTTCAGCTTGGATGAGAACAACTTTTGGGAAAACAAGACTGTGTGAAATTGAATGAAAACGTCATTGTGGGAAAATTATACCGCCAATTTTTGATCACATTAAACGAAATAACCTGAATCATCTCATACTACTGATTTACTGATAGTCTCGAAACTGTGCTCTCAAAAATTTCCGCCTACTTCCTGGCTAGTTCAACTGCATGTGACACTCAAAGAATGTGTGCCACGATGGTCAAGCGGGTGGGGAAGAATCGGGCCCAGAGTAAGCCGATCCAGCCCGTTGAAGGGTTGTGAGTTCGAGTCGCGTCCGTCTCATTTGGGCCGGTTTCGACCAGATGACATTTGCGCTCTGAGCGCGTCGTTAACCCTGTTGCACACACTATGCTTGCATCATCACTGCCGGACGCCCCCTCTCTCTACAACTGGCCAGCCAATAAGCGACGACACGGCTTCTTCGTTGGCACCGAACGGCGACTGGTCCGGCTGTAGTCGAGCCCCGTTTGGCCGGTCCACTCGGAGACAACCGAGGAGGAATGGACGCACTGGCATGTCGAATGAAAGTGTGCGATCAAGCGATTCGGAGGTGGATCCCGCCGGAAGACGCACACCGACAGATTAATTATTCTGGAACAAATGTCGATTTCACTTTTGAGGAGCATGCTTTTTCTGAACATTTGCTCCGACACTCGTGAAAACATGTAACACTTTTGTCGCTCCCATGACGGACATTGTTGAGCAAACTTGCATTTTGAGTGAAAGTGCTGGGTGAGTTCGACGAGAAGACGACGGCCGATTCCTCTCGACCAGCTGTCGATTGGCTTTGTTGGAAGATTCATGCTGACGCTGTTTCTGAGGCGATCTCCTTAATTAACCAAATCACTTTATACTTGATTAAAAAAGAGGTCAGATGTAGAGTAAAGATAGCACTTTTTAGGGATTTGTCGGTGAGTTGTCTTGACTAGTTAGCTTCAATTTTGTCGGGACGATGTTACTTCGCTCTGATGATGTTCGTCATGTGACGGACGAAAGCTTAGCAACTTTTCACCGAAATCGAAGGAGATTGCCTCGAAAGCAGCGTCAGCATGAAGCTTCCAGTAAAACCAATCGTCAGCTGGTCAAGAAGAATCCAACGTCGTCTTTTGGTGGAACCGAGCTTCGAATCTCTTGACGCAACATCATCACTCGAAATGGAAGTAAGCTTAACAATCATGAAACAACAAATTCCTCGAAAACCACATTTTCCTCTTTTAATTCCGTCAAGTGACGAAAATCATCAAAGCAAGGTATCATCGTCACAACCAAATTGAAGCTAACGAGTCAAGAAAACCAAC